CCCGCGCTGTCTCCGAGGCGCGAGGGCAGCGCCGTGCACCGCGGGCCGATCGCGGCTACATCGACGGAGACGACCCCAACGACTGATCGCCTGGCAGCAGACGTGGAACCACAGAACCAACACCTGAGAGACCTGGTCAGAGGTCGTCAACTGGCTAACTACAGCGTTTTTTGTTTGTTTTTGTTTTGTCTCTCTCTCTCTCTCTCTCGAAAGATGGAATGCCTTCTGCGACAAGCGGGATGGTAAGGGCAAAGGGAGGGGTACCCCGGGGGGGCCGACGAGTTGTGCAGGACGTTTGCAGAGAACCTCTATAACTCATACTACGACATCCGTAGTGTCAGCTGGTCGAGGAGAGTCCAGGTGGACTGTTGAGCATTTTGGGAGCGCCAACGCCAGCGCAGCGAACGCCAGCACGACACAGGGGTGGCGAACGGAATGGCAACGGGCAGCCTGGGAAAGGCAAGAGGCAAGCCGACCCCACCTGGCCCGACAACGACCACTCGAGGTCGCCCCAGCCTGACCTACCTGTCTCGCCTACCCAGCCTCTAAAGCCCCAGACGCCACGGCCATGCCCGGCGTCAGCCCGCGGGCTGGCATGCTTCAACGGGGCGCGTCGACGGACAAACCCGTCTCATGTCTCACTGCTGCAGCCAGCTTGCCCAGGCGAGGCGCAATCTCGATATTCCATGGACCTGTTCCTGGGCGTCGCACCCCAGGCTTCCGCGGAACGCTCTCCTTGGACGACGTACGACCCCACCGCGGGAGCCGTGCCGTCCAATGGCTCTTGACTTGCTACGTGCCACCCTCGCTGGGCGGCGCGTGGGGGTCCTTCGGCCGCTCGCTGCGCTCCCCAGACGGTGCGCGGCCTCTTAACACATGAGCCTGCGCCGATTAAGTGCCCCCAGCCTGCTGCGCGGTACGCGCTGGTGGTGTGTGGCGCTCCGCGGCCGCGCGCTGCCCTCCCTGGGTGGTGCGCTGCTCCCTCCCCCCCCAGTTCAGGCCCCCCCCTCTGTTCTCACGATTAAGTGCCCCCAGACCGGCCATGTGCTGTCCATCCAAACAATGCGTGGCCTCCGACGGCCTTTGGCCGCAGTTTCGTCGCAGGCAACTGCACCGATTAGGTGCCCCCAGGCCGGCCATGCGCTGTCCACCCCAGCAGCGCGTGGCCTCCAACGGCCTTCGGCCACTGTTTTGTCACCAATCGTGGCTCAGGCGCTCCTCGTCCGACCAGGCGTTGCCCTCCCCGGACGGCGCGTGGTCTCCATCGGCCATGGCCACAGTTTTGCCCCCCCGGCGTGACGTGCGACGCGCCCAACGTCACATCGTTGGGACCGCCCGCCTTGTAACTGCACCGCTGGCGCTGGGCCTCCCAGTGCCGTCGCCCCGCCTGCCGGGGCTTTCCCGCAGGCGGGGCGCTCCTCCCTCCTGCCATCCCTCCCCTCCCCCGCGCCTGTCCCTCCCTCCCTCCGCGCGCCGCCATGGCGCCGTCGCTACAGCGATGGCTGGCAGCTCCCCGTGGTGGTGGTGTTCCTGGATCCAGCGCCTCGCCGCAGCCTTCGCCCTATACCCATCGGGCACAGCATTATGCTGCTGGCAGTCTGAAACCGTAGGTTGCTTTGCTCGCCACTTGCAAGTCCTAGTCGGCCCACACATGGACGGCTCCGTTGTGCGTTTCCTCACTCGCAACACCTACTCGGCCCGCCTCCGCGGCCGCTCTGTCAGTCTCAGTCACACCTCTTGCAGCCCCGAATTGCTTAACCGCTGGTGTAGTTTACCTCTGCCTCGCCGCCGACGGGAAAGTGTGTGTGTGTGTGTGTATGTATGGGCCCTTGGTTTTTCGTCACTCTTGAAGCATGCAGGTAAAAAGAGTGGCCCCCCCCGACGCATCCAGCCCAACATGGGTTCGTTTGTTTGACCACGTCCCTGCGCTGATGGCAATTCCGACAGAAAATAAAATAAATACAAAATTGTGGTCCGTGTCCCACCCCCCTGGGCGTGCGCGCGGCCCCCTTGCCCCTCCCCCTTCCCCCGGCTCCAGAATGGCTGCCCTCCAAAACGGCCACGATTGCTTCAAATCGGACGAGATGGCCCTGCGGTCCAAGGTAGCCTCCGAAACGGCAGCGATGTCCCCCAAATGGCCCAACGTGCCTCCAAGAGGATCCCCACGAGAGCCCGAACATGCCCCAATCATGGGTTCCCAATGCGTTTTTGAAGCATCTATCTAGGCGTTCGCGCCTTTTCGGGCTTCCGAAAAGCCAAAAAGGTCCAAGAGGCTTCCCAGATGGCACCAGGACGGCCCAACAGGTCTCCAAGAGGTCTCCAAGAGAGTCCCGAGACGGCCGACAGATAATCCAGAAGGTTCCCGAGATGGCCCCAAGAGGGCCCGAAGACGGCTCAAGTGACATACAACACGCCGCAGGAGGGCCCCAAGACGGCCTAAGAAGAGAGACGGCCACCAAAGATGCCAGACGGTCCAAGAACGCCCCAGAACGACTCCCAGGATCTAACGTTGCGCCCGCGCTGGGTTGTTTCCCCAAGCGCGGTGTCAACTACTCGCGGCAACGCAACTTGATCAACTTCAGATGAGTCCCGGAATGGTTCAGAGCCCACCGCAAGGAGCGCCCAAGACGGCCCCAAGACGGCCTCAGGAAGGTCCTAAGACGGCCATATAATCTTTCAAGACGTTCCAAAAATACACTAAGACTGTCCCAATACGCGCCCTGATGTTCCCAAGATGGCTAAACCGAGCCTGCTCTGGAGAGCTCGGTCACGCCACCGCGCTCAAAACGGCTCCGGCCTCCCCCAATAAAGTCCCACGAGGCCTCGAATGTGAAGGAAGAGGGGAAGGGCGAAGCTGCAAACAAAAATGGGGACGTTGATGATCCGCGTCAATTCTGCGAGAACGCCGAGCTCGAACGGGTCTTGAACAGCTGCTGTGCCAGTGAGGTGGCGGGGCTTGCCACAGGCAGCTGTATAAAGAAACGGCGCGGATGGCCGCAGACGCGCTGGTGCGGTGCGCTTTGGTTGGAGCCCTATGCGCTGGTGCCCGATGGCCGATGCCAGATGGCTGGCGCCCGGAGGCTGCCCGAACGGCCGTAGCCGTGCTGGTGCCCGATGGCTAAGTGCCCGATGCGCTGGTGCGGTGCTCTGTGGTCGGAGCCCTTTGGTTGGCACCCTTCGTGGGCTCATGGCGGAGGCACGGGTCGGCAAGGGTTGCTGAAGGTGCCCCTGGCCCAAGGTGCCCCCAGCTTTTCGCTTCACTATGGAGCCCCTGGGGCCCTCTGGGCCTCGTGAGGCGTTCTCTGGAGGCCGTAAGGACCTCTCTGGAAATTCTGGGAGCACCTTGGGCCGGGAGCATTTCTAGCAACACCCGACGGTTGCGCCTCCAACATGGCAGATTTCACGTGCAACGTCACATCGCTTGCACATCTCGAGCGCCTGGACACTCCGTCTGTGGTCCACGCGCTGGCGCCACTTCTTCTAGAATGGGACGAGACTTCGCCTAAGCCACTTTACACTCTACCAACACACCCGTGCTTCGACGCTGACCGGATTCCGATGAACAATAGATCATGGAGAAACCGCGAACCATGCAACCAATAATCATGAGCATGTCTGTCGGGAGCGTTCTTGGGTGCGAGAACATACTGGGCGAACAACAAACGACCATTGTGATTTCACTTCCACACAATCGTGCCGAAATCAGCCTGCCAGTCACAAACTGTCGTCTGTTAGGAGTCTCGTCCAGTGCCAGCTCATATCAATGTTGCACTTTCCGAGAGCTGAACCAAGATCTCTGAAAACTAATCCAGCTTATCACAGGCAGCAACAGCGTGCCGCAAGAGAGCTCCAAATCCCACGACGTCTTGGTACTGTGAGCGTGTTGCGTACGGTATCGCATCGGAGACGGTGTGGTGGTCCAAAATCGGCTGTGCCGAAAGGTCCGTGCGACTCTGACAATTAATGTTGTAATTTCCTGCGTTCCAGAACGCCCGAATATGTCACCCATCAGCGACAAACGGCGCTGCTGAGCAAATGTAAGTTGCACCTCGAAAACATCCGTGCGCTTCGCGGCATTACCGGTATTCCTTGTATATTGCAACGTTCAAAGGCGCGTATCCTGCGGATCGCCGAGTATAATACAAAGAGCCCGTGGACTTTTTATGAATAGCGTTGCGAACGTACACCAGCGCGTCATGCCGCTGCAAGCACGTCGTTCCATGTGGACATACGGCTAGCAACTCGACGCACACACATGTGCAACAAAACGAACTCCTCACAAACATGTGTGGGCGAAATCCAACACCTTTCCTTTTCTATGTAGTGGGATGTGCCAAGGTTTTTGAATATGTGAGGCTTAAATTGATTCTACGATCTTTTGACGCCCCGATGCTAGGGTCGCAAGGATTCCCGGATGCGCCTAAGCGCTTCTGGGCGCTCCTGGGGTGCGCCGCGTGAGCCTTCTAGAGGCTAAGCCCGCCCCAAAAACTCCAAGATCCTCCAAGCGTTTCCCAATAAGCGCCCATAAATGCCCCAGGAGGTCCCAGAGGCCCCAATGGACCTCAGTAGACCCATGAAAAGGCTCCAAGATGAGATTCAAGAAAGGCCCTGGACAACCCAAACTGCCGACATCATTTTCGATTCCCATTATTTTTGAATCATTTTGCTTCTCGACTCAACGTGGCTTCAAGTTGGCGTCATAAATCTCCAATACTGCCCGAGGAGGGCCCTAATAACCACCCAAAACGGCCCAGCAGGCCCCATCCCCTAAATGCCCCAATACGCCCTCTGGAGGAATCCAAGACGGCGCCAAGACAGCTCAAGAGTACCATCCTGCTCGTCCTCTTGCGCTGTCATCTCCTGCTTCTGCTCTTGCGCCTGCTCCTCCTCCTCCAGCTCCAGCTCCAGCTCCTGTTCTTCCTCCTCCGCGTCCTCCTCCTCCTCCTCCTTCTCCCCTTGCGTTCATTCAAATCTTCCTTGGTGCCCTTTGCGCACGGCTCCCCGTTGGCACGCGCAGGTCCCATGATGATCCATCTACCTTTTTGCCGCCCACGGCTCGCGATCCCTGTCAAATCGGCATGCCGATGCGCCCTATGTACACGCACCGCGGTGCTAAGCATGGTCACGCTGTTATCAGCAAGACCAGCTAAAAAAAAATGACCTCACGCGCTTCGATCAAAGGGGCCAGAGCAGTGCTCTGTGCCGAAGCTGGGCCCTGGGAGGTCGGGCCTTCGATTCCAGGCACCGGCACCAGAGACGCTTGCTGTGCGCTGCTCACTCGTCTCGCACCCTGCAGGTGCTCACACATACCCGAAGCACGCATCCATGACCTCTCGCGCATGGTTGCACGCTGCCGCGCTCGATCAGCGGTATACGTTGCCATCAACAATGATGAGGCGTTTCGAAAGAGGACAATGCGAGACATGTCATGCGCGTCAGCTTTCTTGGTGGACCCCGGAACGGCCTGATGGCTCAGGACTGCCCGTCCGCCTGGCGGATAGTAGATCGACCAGGTGGGCAATTCGCGACCTGGGACTCCCTGTCTCCGTCCCTCTCCCCCTACCTTCTCCCTCCCTTCTCTCAGCTCCCGTCCCCCCCCCTTCCCGCTCGCCCATTTCTCTACCTCTTTGGAGCGGGGAGGAAAAGATGATGATGATGATGATGATGATGATGATGATGATGATGATGATGATGATGATGATGATGATGATGATGATGATGCTGCTGATGATGATACTGATGATGATGATAATAAGGATGATGATGCTGATGATTCTACTGATGCTGATGCTGATGCTGCTGCTGCTGCTGATGATGATGATGATGAAGGCCAAACTGATGGGGACTATGAAGATCAGAGGGCCTGGGCTGATCCGTGCATCCTCCCGCAAGTAGGGGCAAACAATGTCATGCCGCGAGATGCCATGGGTATGAATTCCGGCTGGTGGGCGCCACCGTCGGTCACGGAGAGCTCTAAAAGCATCCACAGCCGCGTGCACCTAAAGTGCATGAGATCGCTCCTCCTCCCTGTCCTCCTCATCCCGCTCCTCATCATCCTCTTTGTCGTCGTCTTCCTCCTCCTCGCCGCGTCCTCGTCCTCCAACTCCTCATTCAACTTATGCTTCTCCTCATTCTCTTCTTCTCCGGCTCCTCTTCCCATTCTCCTTCCATGGTCGGCCAGTCTATCGGAATCACGGCTACATGAGTGTACGTATTGTCTAATTCCCGATCTCGAAGGTGTGATCTGGATGATCGGAGGCAGAGCCTGATTGCACGTCCAGAACAACAGTCGTCGGGGTACTAACATTCGCCTCACAAGTCGGATGAGTGACAAGGAAACAGGAGCGGAGAGGACATTAACGGGACCTGGGACAAGGGAGGAATGGAAAGGCTGGGAGAAATGACAATATAGAGGAGGGGGCGGAATATGGTAGAGGAAAGGGGATGTGAACAGCCCGGGTTAAAGGGCAGGTCAGATGCGTTCGCATGTCATGCCATCTTACCCTTCCTGGCCATCCTTTCTAAGTGTGCTCGAGAGGGGGAGCAAAAATAGGAGGAGTATGATGATGATGAGGAGGAGTGAGCAATTATGGGAAGGGCGAACAGGATTATAATGCGGATCGGGCAAATACACATTTAAAGCAAGGAATGTGGCCGACGTCGAGTCGAGGGCGCAGTGTCGAACGGCCGAAGACGCGTCGGTAGAGCAAAGAAGACGCCCGCGACCACCTTAGGGGAACCCCATAGCAAAACACACGTGTACAATTTTTCCCAACCGTGCTGTGTGAGTTGGGGCCTGGTGTTAAGGTAGTAACAAGCGCGTCTCTTCCTCCTCCGCCTCCTCCTCCTCCTCCTCCTGCTCCTTCTCCTGCTCCTATTCGTTCCTCTGCTCTCCGCGCGCCCATCTCGGCACAACCCTCACGCGTTTCGTGACCCCATATGAAGCGCCACCGAAAACAGAAGTGGCAACGCCCGCATGGCGGCGTCGCCTCCATTCGGCACATCTGTGGGCTTCTGTGGGCAATTCGCTCCTCATCGCGGTTACGCCTTCTGCTGTTACCCTCGCAGTCGGACTGGGTGTCCGCGGCGCATTGTCGGTTGGCTTGCAGAGCGGCCCAAAGCACAGGGTATTCAAGGAATGGAGGGTGGTACCAATGAGGAGGTGCATGTAAGTGCGAATGCGCGTCCACGCCACACTCTTCGCACGTTCCATGGATCCCGAGCTGGGATCGCTCCTGGCTCCGCTACTAACTCGAATTGCGGGGGTGGGAAGCTGTTCGAGGTAAAGCGTCGCGGCAATGAGATGTAGATTGCGGGGCTTTTGTTCTTCATGCTGTCAGTAGGTATGCGTCGACGCTCGGGCCAAACAGCGGCGACCCCTCTGGATGAAGAGGAAGCGGTAGAGTAGGAGGAGGAGGAGGAGGAGGAGGAGGAGGAGGAGGAGGAGGAGGAGGAGGAGGAGGAGGAGGAACCAGCTGCGGAGGAAAAGGACGGCGAGAAGGAAACGGAGGAGGAAACCGCGGAGGAAAGCGATGATGATGCTGCTGCTGATGATGATGACGATGATGGTGATGATGCTGCTGATAATGATAAGTAGGAAGACTAGAATGACGATGATTCTGATGATGACTACGATGATGACGACCACGGTGCTGCTGATAATGGTGATGATGATGCTGAGAGGAGGAGGAGTAGGAGGAGGAGGAGGAGGAGGAGGAGGAGGAGGAGGAGGAGGAGGAGGAGGCGGAGGAGGAGGAGGAGGAGGAGGAGGAGGAGGTGGGGACGGAGGAGGCGGAGGAGGAGGAGGAGGAGGAGGAGGAGGAGGAGGAGGAGGAGGAGAAGGCGGCGAAGGGGTCGGAGAAAGACGGGCAGGAGAGCTGGCGGGCGGCCCCCTCGGTGGTCACAGCCGCGATGCCCAGAACCACGTGGCGAAGCGCTCCCAGATGCTCATCGCCTGGGGTCTGAGGGCCTCCTCCGCCCAACCCCCGCTCTGCTCCCTGAATCCCCCCCTCCTCCTCCTCCGCGTCCTCCTCCTCCTCCTCCTCCTCCTCCTCCTCCTCCCTCCTGCATTCTACCTCCTCTCTTGTCTCTCCACTTCGTCCTCCGTCTTCTCTGCCTCCTCCCTACTGTCTCCTTCCTCCCATTCATCCTCGATTTTTTTATCCCCCTCCACCCTGCCGAGGAAGATCACGAAGAGGCGGAACGGGCCCATCAACCCCCTCTCCTCCGTTCTGGAAAGCCGCCATCGCAGGCCTCTGCGACCCGCCTCCCAGAATCCCCCAGCAGGGCCTGAACTGGGTTGAACCGCGAAGTCAGAAGAAGAAAAACGAGTACAACATCGGTTGCGTGTAGTGGATCTTGGCGAAACCGCCGCAAGAAGGCTGATCCGCAACAGATGTCTACTGACGTACTTACGAACGTTTCGGCATCTTATTGCACAATCGCCCACGAGTCGTCCGAGTAGGACCGAAACCGGATCGCCGCGCCCGGCTCCAGCTGTTCCCGTCCGATGCCAGCTCATCGAACCGAACCGAGGCGGAATCGCGGCCCTGGCCGGCGGATCGAATCGCACCGAATCGGATCGCAGGCGGCCCTGCTCCCCAAAGAGAGAGAGAGAGAGAGAGAGAGATAGAGAGACTGGGGCGGCGGAGGAAGGGGGGAGGAGGAGGAGGAGGAGGAGGAGGAGGAGGAGGAGGAGGAGGAGGAGGAGGAGGAGGAGGAGGAGGAGGGCCAGATGAGGCGAAACGTGCCTGCGCGGACGGCCGAGCACGCCGTAGGGGGGGCAGGCAGGGCGGCTGCGCGCGGGGCGCGGCACAGCAGGAGGAGCGCAGTGCCAAGCACGACAGAGCACGCCGACCGCGCGTCTCGGTGCACCTCGAGGCACCGAAGTGTTGTGCAGGGCATCGCGGACAATGCAAGGCAAAGCAAACACAGTAGAGGCGGCCCGGTGCAGATCAGCCATGCGGGGGCGACGAGAGGGACATCGGATAAGACAGCATTGGGCACGGCAGACGCAGGCAGTGCAATATTCAAGGCGATGAGGACAAAGAACGGAGAGGCAAACTCAGCTGCAGCACACCGTAGACTTGGCAAGGCAAGCGGCCCTCGATACTCCAGGCACTGGTCGGCACGGTAGCATGTATCGCAACGACGCTCCCCTTTGTAAGACGGGACAGCACGAAGCAAGACGAGATTGAGCGAAACAACGAGAGGATCGTCTCCGATATGGATCGCGAGGGGCTCCCTTTTCAGTCTGAGCCGCGGCGCCAGTCCTCGAACATGTTTCAAACATTTCTCGTGAAACAACGCCTGGGCACTCAAAGGGGGGTGATGATGATGAAGCTGGAGAGGGGCGCTGCTCCACGTCGTCTAAAAAGCCCACCACCCGTGCCACCCCCCACGCGCGCCGAGGCCACTCCCCAGCGCGGTCGATCCTCCCCCGCCTCCACGCCCAGCGTAGGACGGCTCATCCCCTTCCCCTGCGAGGTCTCCCCCACGCTCAGCGAACAACTCAGAGTACGTCGGGAGTGGATGATGAGGAGGAGGCAGTGGATTTGCACGGGATGCGCGCCACCCGCAAGGTGTCCTGGGGCAGCGGCAAAAAGGCAGGAAGCCTTGGAGTACGCAGGGAGTGGACGAGGAGGAGGGAATGTTGGCGGCGCGCGCAAGAAGGTATGGGGGAAGGGTGAAGGCTTCCCAGAAGGAGGCTGATTCCTAGAAGGCGCCCGCCCTTCCATCCTCAGACGGGGCTCGCGCTTTCTGAGAAGCAGGGGTGCTCCAAAGAAGTGTTCATCCCTCCCCCTGCCCCCCCTTCTGCGCGAGCCGCACGGGATCCGCGCCGCGTGCGAGCAGCCCGCGAGAGCCACAGCGGCCAGCTGCACGCAGGAGCGGCCCTGGGAAACTGGCGGCCTCCGGTGCATGCGGCTTGCTGGTCGCGGCGGTGCGCGGAGCGGGACCCGTGGCGGGGCCTGCGCGCCATGGTTCGGCTGCCCCGCGCGCCGCGGAAGCCGCGCGTCGGGGGCCACGGCACAGAGGGGCAGCGAGGGGCCACGATCGGGGGGGGGGGCTGGCATATGGGGGGAAGGCATCGACCTGGAATCGGCGATAGATCGCCAACAGATCAGCTATAGGACGCCCCTGGCCCACCCCCCCTGAAGCGGAAAGATAGGGGCGGGCTGGCCCAGGATGGCAAACATCGAGCGTGAATCGGCGATGCATCGCCGATAGGTCGGCGATCGGCGCAATTTCCTGGGCGGGGTGGGGCTATCAGAACCCTGACGGCGATCAATGGGCGACGGGGGGTCGATACGTCCCCCCCCTATGCCTATCCCCTCCTATCGTTGCTCCTGAGGCAATCGTACACCCCTGCTTAGAGTAAGAAGTTCTTAGGCTAAGACAGTGGACTTCGCTCCAGGCGTTTTCTTAGATCGCAGTCCGGGTCCAGACGGTACGAAAGTTCTACGACCAAGACCACGCTCCCCAAAAAACGCCCAGCGTCCAGCCCAGCCACTTGATTCTTTAAACGACGTCTACAGTCCATGAATGTTGGTGCTTTTCCTTAATATTTCTGATGGGTGTACGAGTGACCGAAACTCTGGGCGGCTGAAACGGGTGGGCAGCAGAGGGGGGAGCACATCCGCCCAAGGAGAGCTGGCTTCCCTGACGCCTCCTGGCGCCCAGAGGCAGCCGTGCATCGAGGAGAGCGCCCGGCGGTGGGGCCGAAACCAACCGGACCCAGCACTTTTTCCGATCCCCGCCCTTCCCAATCCGTCCCTCTCGTCCGACCCGAGCCTTGCCGAAGCCCGACCCGCCGTCCTCAGAGCTGCTCCGCACGTGCGGGCACTCCCCTCCCGGTGGCGAGCCCAGGCCGGACGATGACCGCCAGGCGTCGTCCCGCCACAGCCGTGGCCCCTCTTTAGAATAATAGTAATAATGATACTAATACTAGTGATAATAATAGTAATACTGGTACAAATAATACTACTACTATTCATGATATTAATATTACTATTATTCATACTACTACTACTACTACTACTACTACTACTACTACTACTACTATTACTACTACTACTACTACTACTACTACTACTACTACTACTACTACTACTACTACTACTACTACTACTACTACTACTACTACTACTACTACTACTACTACTACTACTACTACTACTACTAATGATAATAATGAGAATAATAATAAGAATAATAGTACTAATTTTAACAATAATAATCATAATAATAATACTAAAAATAATGTTAAAAAGAAAAGAAACGCCGTAAGCACATACGTTACGTTTGGCGCTCCGCGCGGATTTCTTGGATCTGTGCCAGACCCCCTCCCTGGCGCGATTCGCGTGCCATGTGCGGCGCCAGAGGCGCCGCGGGGGGGCCCAGCGCGGGTCCAAGAAATCCGCGCGGAGCGCCAAAAGTTTGTGTTTGTGGCGTTTTTTCTTCTTCGATCCTCTTCGCGCAGCAGCGGCAGAGCTCCCCCTCCGACAGCGAGACCGCGACCGGCGGCTCGCAAACATGGACTAGCGATCCATGGATGGATCGGGGGAAGTGCCCTCCCCAAAATGCGGCCGGTGTCGCCTCGCTCGGCGGCGGAAATCCGCGATTCCCTATGGAAACGGTTCCCGTCGCTAATCCGCGCCCCCTTGGTCCATGTTTGCGATCGCCCGAAGAACGGCGGCGGCAACAAAAAGGCAGTAGAGCCGGCCCCATCAGGAGCTGGCGCTCTTGGCGCGGGCTCTCTCGGCGCGGCGCCGCTTCTTCTCCTCCTCGCGCAGCCTGCGCACGCCCGGCGGCAGGAGGAGGTCGTCTGCCACCTCGAGGTGGAGGACTGGGACGGGAGGAGGAGTGGGGAAGAGGAGGAGGAGGAGGAGGAGGAGGAGGAGGAGGCGGAGGAGTAGGATGAGGAGGAGGAGGACGAGGAAGAGGAGGAAAAGGAGGATGAAGACGAGGAGGAGGATGATGATGAGGAGGAGGATGAGAAGGGTGAGGAGGGGGGAAGGGAGGTGAAGAGGCGGGGATAAGAAGGAGGAAGGAGGAGGAGGAGGACGAGGAGGAGGAGGAGGAGAAGGAGGAGGAGGAGGAGGAGGAGGAGGAGGAGGAGGAGCAGCGTAAACCCAAGGCTTACGACCGATATTATTGCCTCAGAGTTCCCTCGTCACAGCCCCCTACAAGAAGGATCATTTTTCACAGAGGAAGTGCCCCGTTGGAAAAAAAACGTTTCAAATTCCTGAACTGTGCCAACACACCATTCCTGGGGCTTCAACGCCGAGAATTACTGCTGCTGTCGCGTCTTGACGGCCCAGGATCGTGCCCAAACGCGATTCATGGGACTTCAACACCTCGATTCGCCGCTACTTTTGCGCCCTGACAGTCCGACATCGTGCCAAAACACCATTTCTGGGACGTTAGCCATGCGAACCCTGGAAATTGTTGTAAGCTCTTCTGTGCGCGGCGCTGAAGCGAGAGCCATATGTTGAAACGAAGCCGCCCTCCACCCCTGAAACCATTGCAATTTTTCGAAACGAATGTGCGCGACGCTAGGGCAAGACTTGCATTTTGAAGAAGGCCCGCCCTTCATCTGTGAAACTCTTGCAACTTCTTGAGACGAGTCTGTGCAGCGCGAAGGCGAGCACCACATTTTGAAAGCGAACCGCCCTCCATCCGTGAAGCTCCTCCTAACCGAACACGAATGTCCGCGGCGCGACGGCGAGAGCTACATTTTGAAAGCGGACCGCCCTCCATCCGTCAAGCTCTTGCACTTTTTAGCTTCAGGATCATAAAGGGTGAGGACGTCTCAAGCAAAACGCCCGCCCCACCTTTTCGACGCGTTCCGGAGCGCGGCAATGAGGAGTTATTTATAAGGAAAACGAATGGAGGAGGACGAGGACGAGGATGCGGAGGATGAGGAGGATGAGGAGGATGAGGAGGATGAGGAGGATGAGGAGGAGGAGGAGGAGGAGGAGGAGGAGGAGGAGGAGGAGGATGAGGACGGAGGAGGAGGAGGAGGAGGAGGAGGAGGAGGAGGAGGAGGAGGAGGAGGGAGGAGGGAGGAGGAGGAGAGGAGGAGGAGGAGGAGGAGGAGGAGAGGAGGAGGAGGAGGAGGAGGAGGAGGAGGAGGAGGAGGAGGAGGGAGGAGGAGGAGGAGGAGGAGGAGGAGGAGGAGGAGGAGGAGGAGGAGGAGGAGGAGGAGGAGGAGGAGAGGAGGAGGAGGAGGAGGAGAAGGAGGATGATGAGGAGGAGGAGGAGGAGGAGAAGG